ACCGAATACAAATCTGTGATACGCCAAAAACACAGAGAGAAATGTACTATTATTTTAGGTGAAAAGATAAGAGGAACCTAAATTAATCATATTGATTGTTTTGCTGACACGCAATTATTTCGCTCTTGTGTTGATTTCTCGGGTAGATTACCGCTTTCATGGCGAGTAAGCGGAAAATGTGCAAACAAATATACTCGTAGGTACGTGTTTGTAAGAATATGTAAGAAGTAAAATAAATAATATTATAGTATGAGAAGAATATTCTGATATTTTAGGTCACTAAGAATTTAAATTAGCTATTCAAGTAGGTACTCACTTCCTAAACATCTGTATCTATTAAAAACACTTAAAAGGAGTGTTTTACTTTCAGGTGTCCGGTTCGATTCTTATTTCACCTGAACAAATCGATAAAACTTAGTAAAGGATTTGCAGTGCCTAAAATAAACCTAATTTTATCAAAGAACTAGCTGACCCGGCGAACTTTGTTCCGCCTTAATGGCAATAAAAAGTATCCTATGTCCTTCAAACTACCTCCCTGACAATTTTCAGCTAAATCGGTTCAGCCGTTCTTGAGTTATAAGTGGAGTAACTAAGACGACTTTCTTTTATATACAACGTGTCCCAAAATTCAAGGATAAGCCGGCGCCGCAGGGTGGACATAGTCATGACTGCTTTAGGAAAAATAAGAAAAAAAATCTATCTCAATTATTTTTTAAGTTACACAATAAATTATGAAATTCGTCGAAAATTGACACCCCTAATGATATTTTACATTACCACGACTACAATTTTTCAAATACTTCAGTTTTTTTGTTTGTATCGGCAATTTAAGTAGTGCTGCTGTCCACCCCAATTCTTAAAACCCTCAGAATCCTTGTAGTTTTTACACAAAAGTTAATCAAAATATGATATTTCCTTAAAATTTTGATCGATTTTTACTTACACTCGACTTTGACTCGTCGTTTTGTAAAAAAACAGTATGAACACTACTGCGGCAAGTTTTTATAAAGTTGACGCAACTATCCAAGATTCCGAAATGGTATAATACTCTAAGAAAACTAGTCGCAAAAAAGATATGCGTACCATTTTTACAAGCATTTCGCTTGTAAGTTAGTATGAGATAAATCTTGCAACTGAATTTAAAACCAGTTCTCCTTAACCAATTGAGCTGAAATTTGGTATACTTGTGTAAGTACGATGACAATGCAATATTATGGTACCACTGAGCTGGATGGAGTATGGAGGTGGCCATAGGAACTCTTAACGAAACGGCGGAATTACATCTAGTTTGGGTTCGTTGGACTTGTCTTTTCGAGCACTTTAGTGCTAGACGATGTTCAGGGTCCTGATGATGAAGTCAAGAGGTGGCAGGAGCTGGCCATAGGAACTCCTAAACGAAACGGCGGAAGCTTATCGAGTTTGGGTTCGTTGGATTTGTCTTTTCGAGCACTTTAGTGCTAGATGATGTCCAGGGTCCTGATGATGAAGTCAATTATAATTTTCAAACGAAGTCAAGCTTGTTTTTAAATAAGTTTTTTTTATTACAACTTTATTTTAAGCTTTTTAGTTGTTTCTCAATCTCATGGCCTAAGTGCTCGGGAAGACAAATCCAACGAACCCAAACTCGATAAGCTTCCGCCGTTTCGTTTAGGAGTTCCTATGGCCAGCTCCTGCCACCTCTTGACTTCATCATCAGGACCCTGAACATCATCTAGCACTAAAGTGCTCGAAAAGACAAGTCCAACGAACCCAAACTAGATGTAATTCCGCCGTTTCGTTAAGAGTTCTTATGGCCACCTCCATACTCCATCCAGCTCAATGGTACCATAATATTGCATTGTCATCGTACTTACACAAGTATACCAAATTTCAGCTCAATTGGTTAAGGAGAACTGGTTTTAAATTCAGTTGCAAGATTTATCCCATACTAACTAACAAGCGAAGTGCTTGTAAAAATGGTACGCATATCTTTTTTGCGACTAGTTTTCTTAGTGTATTATACCATTTCGGAATCTTGGATAGTTGCGTCAACTTTATAAAAAACTTGCCGCAGTAGTGTTCATACTGTTTTTTTACAAAACGACGAGTCAAAGTCGAGTGTAAGTAAAAATCGTTCAAAATTTTAAGGAAATATCATATTTTGATTAACTTTTGTGTAAAAACTGCAAGAATTCTGAGGGTTTTAAGAATTTGGGTGGACAGCAGCACTACTTAAGTTGCCGATACAAACAAAAAAACTGAAGTATTTGAAAAATTGTAGTCGTGGTAATGTAAAATATCATAAGGGGTGTCAATTTTCAACGAATTTCATAATTTATTGTGTAACATAAAAAATAATTGAGATAGATTTTTTTTCTTATTTTTCCTAAAGCAGTCATGACTAGGTCCACCCTGCGGCGCCGGCTTATCCTTGAATTTTGGGACACGTTGTATATAGATTAATCATATCTTGGCTAGAATTCAAAATCCTGCATATCTTACTAGCCGGCACCTAAGTATACTTTTAGGGTTGACGTTCACAAGCGCCCACATTACCACAGATTAGTCCCATAAAATGTGGCTCTGTCTGTGTCAAGATGTCTACTTGGCCTTAATACAAAAAAATTTCAATTTGTCGCGTGAACTTTTACGCGAAAGGAAATTCAAAGCCAATAGCAAAATTGCAATCACTCGCGAGCGCCGCCTCAAACGGTCTGAGCCTACAATTTCCTACAGCCACTACCTTATATGATGTTTCAGAGACAGCACAGTCTCAGGGAGGGAACGTAGACTTATTTCGATACGATATTTATAACGGTTCAAACTCAATTGGAATAAAAATATTTATAGAATCATTTTTATCAAGGGAAACCGCTTTTCTATGTTAAACGTGCCCAATTATTTTCTTGATAAAATATCTCTAATGATTGCAGTTTTTTGAATATGACGAAAACAGCAAACATTTGATTATTTTTCACGTCCCTTAGGTCAGTATTGATGAAGGCTTATTATAATTATTTATCTTTCTAAGGCTTTGTGTAACTCAAAATTGGCTATTGTCACAGAGCACAATCACAGTTTATATGTGATACAATATATTTTTATCCTGCCACGAACAGAAAATGGGTCAGATGGACCCTCAGATCATAGAAGGGAATAGATGTGAAACGGGGGCGTGGCGCGTGTCTCCGCGATATGCCCAGAAACGAACATCAGCCGCGTAGCTAGGTTAGTCGCGATTCAGTCGTACTAAGGAAATGTTCTCCGATATTTTGGATAATGCGTCGTCGTTACGTGCAATAAAACAAGTGAAACGAAGAACTACAGGAACAATGGAGTCATTTACTACATGTAAGTATTGCAAATCCATTGGTATTTTGCTTATAAATAAAAAAAACTAAACATTTTTACGAACGAATTCAGTGCCGCAACAGTTACTGCGATATCGAAATCAGTGGTGATAAAAATTCTAACACACTTGTACATTGACGATTTAGTTAGCAACCACTTTATGTCATGCTCAACTACTGCGCAATGTATTTAATTCCGATATCCACTGTCGTGTGAAAATACACAGTACGGCCGCATGTGCCGGTCGTAACATAGTGCCGTAGAGTTATAATGTCTGACTGAACTCCAATTATAGATTTAATGATTAAACTGAAGCACTATCTACAGATAAAGGACCCTCGATATCGTGGCTTATAATTTTAATCAACGATAAAAAGCTTTTGTAGATAATTACCAGCAAGCAAGTTGAATATAACTCAATATAGAAGAATACTTTGTAAGACAATCACAAAGTCCTAGGAAGAACACGTGTTAATGATTAATTAGTCAATGTTTGTGTTTTGTGTGATGATTACGAAAACAATGACGAAAAAAGTGAAGATCCGTAAAACATCATTACTCATTAGGAATTAGTAATCACTGAAATCTAATTTACAAGAAAAGATAACTTTATCACATTAAATGGACTAATTAACTTACGTAAATCCATATGAAGTAACGCAGTCTGCAATATGCATCCACAGAAAGCCATTGTCAATCCATTTACACTTTGTGATGTGAATTTGGAATCAAATTGAACCCGATTTAAAAATATCACAACATCTGTCTACTCACGGACATTGCCCGTGGGTGGCTTGACCGGAGGGACCGGCGAGCGTTCGGCGAACGAACGAGCAATGTTCGGTTCGCGAGCGAACATCGAAGAAGACAATCCTGACGCACTCTCTTCAACGACTTTGCACTAAACGGTCTCAATAATATTGTAAATTTATACCGAATAGATAACTAATTTCATACAGTCCACTCTTTTTTTCATTTATAAACTTCCACCACACACACTATCGAAGTAACAACATCAAATCAAAGGAAGAAATTATGTAAGTCCAATCAGTTAAAACAGACGAATTTAATTAAGAGAACAACATAAATGCCAATTAAAACAAACACCCAAACTTCACAACGCGCAACGTTGGAATAAAACTGAACAAGGAAAATAAGTTAAACTTAGTAGTTTACCGGGAAGCTGACATGATACGGATTGGACGACAAGTAAACAACAACTTAACAGTACTAGGAAATAACTATGAATTATTCAACATTTTTGGTCATAACCACCGAGATGAGTAGGTTGCTTAGACTCATAGTTAATGAATTCTAATAAATTACACGAATATTCGGTTAATGAGGGTTTTCGCGAATGAAAAATCCGCCAGATGGCAATACGTAGACGCGAGGTTCAAATGATTGGTTATTTTTGACATGACATTGACAGATATGTCAAAATCCACCAATCACGCAGCAGTCAGACCCCACATCCACGACCCGCCATCTAGCGGATCTTTCATTCGCGAAAACCCTCATTTGAGAGACAAGGCAGAACCAAAACAGATTCTACAGAAAAATCAACATCATATTAATTCAAACAAAAAGTACAGAGCTACGTTGTTAGTATCTTTAGCAAAAGAAACTATACAATCATGCTTAACATAGAAGAAAAATGTAGCCCCGATAAAATTATACATCAATCAAATACTCACTTCAAAATATACCTCTTCCCATCTTCAGAGATCTCTGGAAGGCCTTTGACAAAGTCGCGCTGGGCATAAAACTGTGCCTTGGGGTACGCTAGGAATATTTGTGGGACCAACCTTTGTGTTTGTTCCTTGTGGCGTGGCGGGCCGCTGGGGGGGTCCTGCCCAGGCTTTCCAGGTCTGTATTGCTGCTTGTATACTGCGGGGAGTGGAAGTCTTCCAGCATTGGAGGACCCTGGACAATGAAGGAAGAAATTTTAACATTTATATTGGCTTTTCTTTAATGTGTTACATATTTTTGGTCAGTTAGGTTGGAGTACGGTTCATATTCTCTAAAAGTCCCTGTATTCCGCACACAAGAGCGGTTTTATAAGTTATATCAATAATACAAAATTAAAAAAACATCACACAGAGCGTCATGACCTGCATCATCATATCACTGAATGCTTATCAGCTGCTTTTTAAAGCAGAGCGACGTCACACACGACTTTTCCTATATTTGTAAGAAAAGTGTGAGCGAATCAGTTAAATTATAACTCCTAGATATAAATAAGCTCAAAGTTGCACAGGTCATTAAGTTAGCGGGAAGGCGCTGGATGCAGGCCGCTGCCAACCGGCCATCGAAGGATACATTCAGCAGTGGACGTCTTAGGACTGAAATAATGATTATGATGATGATGATGATGATGAAGAGCCTGAAACTTACCAGCTTGTAGATAATATTCTGGATGTTCATCAGCCACCGCTTGGCGCCTTCGTCCGTCTCATCCTGCAGCAGGTACTGGTCGTACCCGACCGTGAGCACCATCGATCTCGTGTACCTGTAAACAACCAGGTTTTGGTTAGGACTTAGTTTCGTAACCAATATTAGGATCAATGTGATGTTTTTTTTATCCACAACGAGGAAGCTGTTGGCCTGTATCTCACATGATGGTAAGTGACAATCAGGCCGAAGATGGAAGCGAGCTTCACCCGGAATCCTCAACCACGGAGGAACTGGCTATCTTACCTCTAACGGCTAACCTCTAACTACTTAAAAACATTATCTCAGAACTTGCGCGTTTATTAGTTTGTAAGTATTTATTTCACTAGCTGTGCCCGCGACTTCGTAGGCGTAGAAACCCGTTTTCGCAACATTTTTCATTTTTGCTCTGCACTTATTACTTGTAGCGTGATGGTATATAGCCTTTCTCGATAAATGGGCTTTCTAACACTAAAAGAATTTTTCAAATCGGACCGGTAGTTCCTGAGATTAGCGCGTTCAAGTAAACAGACAAAGAAACTCTTCAGCTTTATAATATTAGTAAGTATAGATTACCATTGTCCGGTTTTAGTTTGGGATTACCCCAATGATCAAAGATGAGTCTTTGATCATTGGGGTTTTACAGGTTGTAGCAAAATGTCTTCTACAAGTGTCCTCACCTCTTGGTGTGCATCTGAATGCACTGCATCACGTGGGCGTTGCGCAGAGGCAGCACCAATTCTGCGCGTGGCGCCGCCGGCGATGGCGGCGTGCCTGGTGGCTTGGGAATGCGCTGGAAAAGAGACATGGTTATGAGAGAACTGGTCATCATCATCATCAAGTTTCAACCCACGATCAACCCATGAACGGAAGATCAGTCGCCCGGCAAGCGAAAGGCTCTGGGTTCGATTCCCACCTTAGGCAGTTCGATTTTTTCAAGTTATTTATAATTTAGTTTGAGATGCGACTCTTAACGCTAAGTAATGGCTTTCATCATCATCATTCGACTATTATTACGCTAAAGGAAACGTGTGCTATTCTCTCGCAAATCGCGGTCGTTCTCGTAAAATTTTTCCCAGAGCGCAAGCCCTGCGTTACAGAAATGTTCAGCAACTCAAAATCCAATTGTAATTACTTACCCTTTTTCCTAAACACAGGATTTGACCTACAATCCCCACTCTAGCCAGATGAGTTGGGGAGGCTCGATATCAGCAATAATTAATTCTCCTTTAATTACCTCTTTACATTTAAAGAGACAACCACGGGAAGAGTGGCGGTGATCATATGCTACTCAAGCCAAGGAGTGCAAGTGTCGAGTCAAACGAGTGAGAGTCATTTGTTTACGATCAATAAAACATTGTCATTATTTACGTGCGCATTAATCAATACGTCATTTCATTATACAGCAGAAATCGTTGCACTTTGGATTAGATTAATCATATATTACGTCATTGCAGTAATTTCACAAGTCTTGATACGAACTATAAAAATAATACTTGAATGGCTGATAGTGAGTAACGCCCGTATTCACAAACATTACTATGAGGTCTCACAGTCCGCGTGGACGCACAGGGTAACACACGAACCAATCACATATCTCTATTCNTAATGCGGTTTCCTATTATCGATAAATAGAAGTAAATTATAATTTTCTATTTTGTAATTTTAAATAAAAAAATGATGTGTTACTTGCGATTATAAGATTTTACAAAAAAAAAAAACATTAGAAGTAATTAAGAAAGCCTAATATAGGCATTATTTTTGATAAACATATGCGGTACGCAGATCGCCATAATTAAAAAGTAAATGCGTGATAGTATTTAATAAAAAATCGGGAAGTGGGTCAATTTTAAGTTGCAAGATTTGACGACAGACACCAGTACCTCTAGTACGAAAAACTTTCGAGTTCGTTTCGTTGCGTATTCAAAGTGTCATCGAAAAATTTTGTATGAAAAATTAAACAGCGCCCCCTATATTATAGCCGCCCTAGGGGGCGCTGTTTAATTTTTCATACAAAATGAATTTTTTCATACAAATTTTTCATACAAATGAATACGCAAACGAAACGAACTCGAAAGTTTTTCGTACTAGAGGTACAGACATGTGAAAGTAATAAAAAGCTTGTAATAACGTATAATAATAAAAAGGTTTTCATATATAAGCATTTTGTGAAATCAGTTTCGTGCCTTCCCCCTAGCGATTTAAAGTGTCGATATCTTGTCGACTCCATTTTATCTTTGTTCTCTCACTAGCGTTTTCTTAGTGTGCGTCACGTCACGCGGCCATTGATTGGCCATAAGGCATGCCTTCTGGCCAATCACAGCACTTTTAAGCCGGTTGCACATGTTGTCGTAGACTCTCAGTCGCTTTGTTTTTACACAGTTGAATGTGTGTGTGGGAGCTGTGGTGGGGGAAATGTGGGGACACTGGTTCTCGTTGTAGTTACGCGCGACTTCATATCTATTCTCTTTCTATGATCTGAGGATGGACCAATATAATGTTGTGAGTAAAATACATCGTCACATCACTAGCCGTCACTTGTGCTCCCCAAGACAATAACCAATTTTGTGATATACGAAGCCTTAGAAAGATTGTCAAATAAAAACTTCAAGAAATAATTATTAAAATGTGACCTTTAGTATTTGCTTTGTTAGTTGTCTAGAAGAAGCCTTCATTTATAAGGCCTAAAAGTAGATAAAGTCATAAACTTGCTTAAAGTGGGTGTATCTCACTCCGCTCCGTTGAACGTCGAAAAGTGTTGCGAATAACATTATCGCCCCCGTAACTTAAGATCCTGATACGAATCCTCATTTATTTGGGGTCGTGTCACAATGACGAATGGGTGTCAACCCTTACGGTTGGGGGGCCGAGTGACGAGCGCCTAGCGGGAGACGACATGCCCGTAATAGCGAGTAGCCGGGGCGGTACGGCCCCCCCATAATGGTCTGGTGCCCCCCCAGAATGGTCTGGTGCCCCCCCCCCTCCAGATAGGTCTGGTGTCCACCCCCCAGAATGGTCTGGTGTCCTCCCCCCCCAGAATGGTCTGGTTTCGTATGTGTTACCTCTATTTACGGCTACGAAATGAGCTCTTTAATTTAGTAGCTTCAGCTAAAGCGTTACAACTAACGTTACAATTAAGTGGTGATTCAGGCCATATTTCAGGTCCAGCGTGGCTTATTAGAGGGGGAAGGCAAGATTTTCCAAGACTACCAAAAATACCGAACTAAAAACATGGCGTCTGTGTCAATTAATTTTATTTAATTTACTTTTAAAAACTGCGCACCCGAACTACTGTTGGCTTGATGTGCCTTTATATCCAGCTCCAGTCTAGTTAGTTCAATTTCTTCAATGAATCTTTAAACGACCAGAGTGCGTGGACCTTACCTGCCTAGCTCGCACTTATACGTGTTATGTAAGTTATAAATTACTGTATGTGCTTGTTCACGTTGACTCGCGGGCGCGGTGGCGGGCGCGGTGACGAAATATCAAACATATGTAGTGACTAGCGGCCGCCCGCGACTTCGTACGCGTGAATCCCGTTTTTCCCGCTAATTCCCGTTCCCGTGGGAATTTCGGGAATTCCTTTCTTAGTGCACCTCTAGGGTACCTAAGCTACGTCCCTTCCAAATTTCAAGTGCCTACGTTTAGCCGTTTAGGCTGTGCGTTGATCTGTCAGTCAGTCAGTCAGTTTCTCCTTTTATATATTTAGATTCCAAGTGTTCACGTACGAAATGCAGGTGCGGTCTAACTAGCGGGCAAGCTAGCGACTGATGCGCGCGGAGCGCTCGCGGTAATTTCAACGCGAGAAGATGTTTGTGTGTGTTCATGTCAAACTAGCGGCGGCGCGCGCGTTTCACTCGCGACGTCAGGTAAGTTCAACCAGTTTGAACTTGTCGCTAGAAACGATAGTACGTCATACTCGCGCGAACGCCTGGTGGTTAATGTGAATACGAGCTCGCAACGTTTCCCGCGCCCGCACCCGCCCCCGCGCCCGCGCGTACCTACGTGAACAAGCACTATGACTGAGTTTCTTCCGTCACTTCTTCCCAGCACCAGCCCATACGTTGCCCCGAAGTGGTGGTAGAGCAAGCTATATTTGGGACGTGTGTAAGTGCCCTGGAAAGGGCCTATGTAGGTAGGTACCTACTGAATAAACTATTTCATTTCATTTCTTCTTAGGAACATATCCGCTTCAGCCAGTGTCCTGCACTGTGTCCAAGTTAAAATTCCCCTCCCGTAGCCGCGATGTCGTACAAGTGTCCACGTTTTGACAACACAATTTATGGTGTTCCGAACGTTGTAGGCGTTGTAATTGAAGTATTAGCGAATAAATTACGCTGTCCGATAGGTTCGGGAGATTTATTGTTATTGGGTGGGTAATTAGATATTGGTTCAGGTAAGATAAGCCTTAATCTTGAGGAAATTGCTTAAAATCTGGTCAAGTTATTTAAACTAAAGCCCGGTCCGTGAGCACGTAGAATTTTGTCCAATGACCCCAAGCTACACATCCTTATTGCTCGCGTGTAATTATATTGCTGTCGCGACTGTGCGACGGGCGCCCGCATTGAGTGTACGAGCTCACGGACCAGGCTTTAGTAACAAGTATCTATCAATGGATTTGCTGTGCAGTGGTGTGACGCATTCGTATTTGACCCATTTATTGTCCCGAAGCAGTGACAGGGTTAAAGTAATACACGGACGTGTAATAATGCATATTATTATTAATTTGTATTTCCACTAGTATTCCCAGGTGACACTCACTGTTGAGCCTTTAGTTATTAGGTACTTACATCTACATTTTAACAGCTTACATAAGACTAGGCGCAGACCACCGATTTTTAGTTGGCCGATTGTTGGGCCCGATTTTAATTTGTATGAAGAATTGGCCAAATCAAATCGCTGTAATGTCCGCACTTCCATAAATGCCCATACTGCTCAACTGCCCGATTAAACTATCGGCCGACGAAAAATCGATGGTCTGCGCTTAGGCTTATATGCGGTTTATGAGCCGCTTGATCTGACACTAAGATTATGGAGAAATGTTTAGTGTTCAGAATCCAGATGAAGGCAAGTATGTTCAATTTATGCCACATATGTAAACAACATGTGTTTCCACATATGTGGAAATCCTTGGGGGAGGCCTTTGTCCAGCAGTGGACGTCTTTCGGCTGAAACGAACGAACGAACGAACGATGTAAACAACTTGCATGTCCTCATTCATATTACAAGTTTATATTAATTGGTGTTTGTTCATAGTGCTCCAAACAACCGGTTCCCCCGAGAGATGCGTTGCAATAATTAAAAATATCGATTTGATTAAATCTCTTCTTAATTAGTAGTGGCCAAAACACCGCCCGCGGGATCGCATTACCCGGCTTCCCTAATGGAATTGCTTTTATTGATACATGTTCGATTAATTAAAATTTCGTAATGAGATTATTTCTTTTTTTTTTGTAGAAGAAATGGGCTTGAAAATGACACTACATAGAGTCTTACACAAAGGTCTGCTTAACAATTTAAATAGGTTTATGTCAATTCGAACTTGGGCAAACTCATGGTAAACCATGAGCCTTTATAAATTTTACTTATAGATGACTAGCTTTCCGCCCGTGGCTTCGCCCGCCTGCAATTTTGTCTGTCACAGAAAAACATTATCGCGCGCGTCCCTGTTTAAAAAATCCGGGATAAAAACTATCCTATGTCCTTTCCCGGGACTCAAACTATCTCTATGGCAAAATTCATCAAAATCGGTTAAGTGGTTTAGGCGTGAAAGCAAGACATACAGACAGAGTTACTTTCGTATTTATA